GTGGGCCCTTAGAAAATTTCGGTCCTAGGAAGGACCTGCTCTATACCATGTTGGAATCACTGAACAGGAATGGATGAACTAGCAGTGAAATGAGTACAAATACCTAACCCTAGAATTGTGTACCCCCTATAGGCTAACCCACTGTAGCCTAAACTAACACAACATATATAATGTTTGACACAATCGGTCCTGGAAAAACTCACACTTAGACGCTTTGGTCAGTAGGCGGTTCTCACTTAGGATCTTAAAAACAGCTTTGATGTCCTGTAAGTGCTGTGCTCTGTCAGGGCTGTAAATTAGTATGTCGTCTAGATATACTATGACGCACTTATCTAAGAGCGAGCGGAAAGCTTCGTTCATAGTCATTTGAAAAGTGGCGGGGGCGTTGGTCAGTCCGAAGGGCATGACGGTGTATTCGAAGGATCCGTAGTGTGTGCGAAATGCGGTCTTAGGGCAGTCGGGCGAATTGACGCGAATCTGGTGGTAACCCCCTCGGAGGTCGATTTTTTAGAAAACCCGGGCTGTGCGCAGTTGGTCGATCAGTTCGTCGGCTCGCGGGATGGGGTAACGAGATTTGATGGTAACCCTGTTCAGTGCTCTGTAATCTATGCACATGCGAAATCCCCCGTCTTTTTTCGGTGTGAACAGTATCGGTGCTGCGAAGGGCGACGAACTAGGGCCAATGAATTCCTTCTCGAGCAGGTAATCGAGCTGCTTCCTCAGTTCGTCCAGTTTGGGCTGGGTCAGTCGGAATTGTCGCTGTACTGTTGGCTGTGCCCCCGGTTCTAACTCTATCCTGTGGTCGTGCGGTCGCTGAGGTGGCAGTCCCGTCGGTAAATCGTCCGGGAAAATGTCGCTGTACTGCTTCAATAGTGCTGCCAGGTCACTCGGTACGTCGGCCAGCAGTTTCTGTAAATCCCCTCCTTTGTCTGCTGCCTCGGCTTCTCGAATGTCGACCACGTACACGTCAGCTCCTGCCGCTACGACGCGTTTCATCGTGATCGCGTTGACACGCACCGACGAAGACTCAGGTGAGCCCCAGCGAGGTAAGGCGATGTTGTTACCGTTCATTCGCACGGTGCAGTCACCCGTCGTCCAGTCGATTCGCGGATTGTGTCGTCGCAGCCAATCACGCCCGAGTAAAATATCGGTTCCGTCGAGGGTCGTTGCGAGCATTTCCTGGCTAAACGTGAAGTTACCCCCACATCGAATCCGAACCCGGTCTACGCGTTCCCGTATCGCCAGCGGCGTGCCGTCTACCAGTCTTGCGTCGAACTCAGGTAAGCATCTGTCCAGTGGCAGTCGCACTTTTCGTGCTGTGGCAGTGTTGATGAGGCTGTGGCTGGCTCCCCCGTCTACGAAGATTTTTACTAAGTCCGTCCCGATTTTCCCACTAAGCAGTATGGGGCTGTCTACTGTAGTACCCTCCTTATTCGGCCGGGTGTGGTCGATTGCGTGAACCGGCACAATCACTCGGTGAGGGTCGGTTGGGTCGGGCGAGCGGCGTGACCTGTCAGTAGAGGGCCCGTCTGCTACTGACTCCCAGCGTTTCCCTGCTGCTTGGTCTGTTTCTGCTGCTCAGCTTCCCCCTTTCCCTTAGTGTTTTCCGGGCATTCGCTCTTGCGATGTCCCGGCCGATTGCACGCAAAGCAGCGCCCTTTGAGCGGTGCGGCAGCGGCGTTTGCGGTGACGGCACGTATCGTGGCACCCTCGTTCGTCCCATGAGGCCGATGTCCCCAATGGCTGCTTCCGTAGGACCCTGGTCTCGGTCGGCGGAAGAAATCAAGTTTCTCCGCCATGGCGAGAATTTCTTGAAAGTCGGTGACGCCGCGGAGCTGGATTTCCTGAGCGATGTCCTGCTTCAGGCCGCCGATGTAGCGGTCGATGCGCTCGCTCTCGTGCATATATCCCACCTACTCGCATAGCGCCAGAAATCTGCTCGTGTAGTCTTGGACGGAACCGAGTTGGCGCCAAGTGCGGAGCTTCTGACGCGCCGCGATCGAAGCCGCGATTGGCTCGTAACGAGCGCGCAGACCTGCGCACCACGCGTCCCACGTGCGATACTGGGGCACCTCCACGAAATACGACGGCGCCCAGGGTCCGGTTTGTCCTTCCCTTGTCGGTAGAGTTGCGTAGTCCGCCGGCTTCGTGACGATGACGCGCCACCAGTCCATGGCGGGTCCTCACAGCAAGGACACGGCGTAACGAGTCTTCGCCGTATCCTCCGAGACGTAGTTCGCGTCGAAGAAAACGTTCAACGTGAAGAGCCACGCCTGAACGGTAGGACCACCCCGCTGACTTGGGTCAAAGCATGGCGGACGCTGCGGCTTTAGCGGCATCGGCGACGGAAGAGTTGGTCCGCCGGCCGGCACTGAAATCGTGACTTGAGGCTGAGTCCTGGCTGCATTCGTCGCGTCGGGGCGTGTCGTGTCGTGGTCGTCGTCTCCGTCATAGCGGACGACGTGTCAGTAGATCTGCACTGTGGATGCCCGATTGATCCTACTGACACGACGCCATCACTTGCGGCGCTCGCGGGTTGCCCCACACTTCCGTGCTGTGATGTTTGTGGTGCGGGCTGAATCGGAGCGCCATGTGCTTGGGATTGTGCTCGCGTGAGGTCGTTTTGCAGGGACGAGCGTTCTGCCGTCAGCGTCGCGATTTCCTCGACGCTCTCGCGGATTTGTCGCAGCAGATCGTTCAAGTGCTCCTGCGTGAGAGTCGTGACGTCGATGTGTTCAGCCATTTCGAAGGGCGTCGGCTCGTCTTAGTCTAGGCGCAGTCGTGGCTGCACGTGTTTACGAGAGAACGCGAGGACAGCGGCTCCTAGGTGCTAAGGTACGTGAGTCCCTTCGAGTGAAAAATCAAAAGTTGATTTCCTCGGGTGCGGAGATGCGCGGTCCGAAAGAAAGGGGCTCTGAATACCAAGTGTTACGAGCGCAATGAATCGAAGTAGCGAGAATTGCACTAAGGTGTCAAACGAGTACAAAGATGTGAGCGAAGGCATGAGCGAACATTTATACGCGAAACATGCAAACAGTAATGCGGTGCGTGCGAGCTAGCTAGTGCTATGCTGGCAGCGAGGCTCGGGCTAGTCCCGAAGCGTAGGCCGACACGGCCGGGCCAGAAGTGCAAGGTTTGGCAAAACAGTGCGCGGGAAGTTGGCGAAGTTCCGTTAGCAGTAACGGGCGAACAACGGCTGTTGCTGTACGCGATGTAGTCGGGCTCCGTAAAGAATGCCCAGAAAATGCCTTACAGAAAATATCATATAGCCTTAACTATCAAACAAACGCCAAAAAAAAAAAAAACACACATACACACACAATGTCAAACCGCAAAGCTATCCTAGTGATAAATGACAAAAGTTAGAAGAAGAAAGAGGAATGAACTAGCAGAAATGGGGATACAAATAGCAAAACCCTAGAAGGGTTGTACTCGCTATAGAGCACCCCACTACAGGCTAGTACATAAGATAATATTCTGACAATAAAATATATTGAAACATTATTTTAACCTATGATAGTTATATTTCCGAATATTAAGAAATAGAGCTAGAAAAAGTTACAATAATTTAAATATCAATTTGAACAATATTAATTTTGCATATGACAGACAACAAAAGTTGTATAAAAATCAAAACATTTTATTGACATAATAAGTAATGCATTCAAGGCATGATATGGACTGTATAAATAGATAATTTAATCACAGTTTTTAATTAGTCAGGCTACATTTGTTTTTCCAGAGTATCCGTAAGATGCTTGCTGTAATAGTGATCGGAAATTATATCGAATACGAGCATGTAACGTTTTTCTAAACAGAATTGCGCATTCTGTTGGTGTATACGTGGACAGTCAGTTTTCTTTTGCTGAGTCAAACCTGACTTGTACGGTGTACAGTCTGGTTGGAACGTGAAGTTACCAGCCAGGTTTTCCGGATGCACTGTTCATTACCATTCAGGCAATAATGTTGACCATCTCGGCAATGCTGGTTACCATGGTGGCGATGAGAAGAAATCTCTGTTACGATTTCGACACGTAGCTTACCTTGTGTGCGTTTGAGCTCCATGAGTGTTACCGCTAAGATAAATGCCCAAAACATTTTGCTCTCTTCACCTGATGGTAAACATAGCCTTAACAACGAGATGCATCTGGAAATCCACAAGTGAATGCAGATTGCAGCTAAAATAGCTCATGTAGAGCCCTTGCGTAGGGTGCAGAAATAGGAGCTTAGTAATTATCATAGGACACTTGGACCTCCTTTCCAGTTCGCGAATGCAGCAGATGCTGCAAGTTGGCAGCTTCAGGCCACCGTTACTCCCCCCTGCTCGCAGCAGCTGCCTGTTCAGCTTCCAGAAGGGAAAGCGCTAACGCAAGGCGCATTTGCCCTTCAAAATCATCCGGAACAACCAAAGGCACCCCTCCTTGCTCCCCCCCTGCACCCGCAGCCAAACCAGCACGAGTAGTGCTCTCACTGCCATCCACCAGGCTACCCTCACCACCACCACCACCACCAATCCCTCGCATGAGAAAGCTCTCAATCACCTCCTCATCATGCGAATCGTCCTGCTGTCGCTGCATCCCCTCCTGCTGCTGATGAGCCTCTGCTGCTGCAGATGCCTGTGAAGGGCCCTGCATACCACCCGGATTCTCCTCACTCACATCAGAGCTTGCTGCAGCAGAATTTGACGCGGCACTTGTTGCTGCTACTGCTGCAACACCTGCACCTTCTGTTGTCGCTACTGCTGCTGCTGCTGGCAATGCCTCGGGTGCAGGGACGGACTCTACCTGCCTGGGTGCAGCTACTGCGGCTGTGTCAGTGGCAACTGCTGAAGCTGATGCTGATGCTGATGCTGATATTGCTGCTGCAGCTGCTGGTGTTGAGTCTGATGTGCGGCGAGCTGCCTCTTCTTGATCCTGATGCCGGGTCGAGTAGGGGGGAGAAGCAGGGAAGTGAAAGGAAGAGATTTTTTAGTCAATTAAAAGGGTGTTTCTTTAGTTGACTCAGTAATTGCTGGTGTTGAAGCTGAATCTGATGTGCGGCGAGCTGCCTCGTCTTGATCCTGATGCTGGGTCGAGGGGAAAGGGGCAAGTGGGGAGGGAGAGACAAATGGACGCCATGAGCAACAGCTGCTCTTCCAAATCCACTCCCAAGAAAGGCAAGAAAAGCAGAGCCCCACAGCAGGTAGCAGCTGGACAGAGAGCGGCAGAGGAAGCAAGGCGTACCTGCAGCGAGAGCCAGATGGCCTCCATGAGCAAGAGCTCCTCCAAATCCACTCCCAGCTCGTCCGCTCTGATGGCATGGCACACGGGACACATGGAGCGGGGATGGCGATTGGAAACATCCAACGTAGTGGAAACATCCAACACATAGAGATGGTTGATGCATGGGACGCATGGAGGTGGGGGGAAGGGGGAAGAGGGAGGCATGAAGAGAAATGAGCGAGAGAGGCATGGAGTGGAAAGGCTTGAAGCACGGAAAAGGGTAGCACATGAAAAGAGGATGGATTGGGGAAGCCGAGAAGAGAGCAGCAACGAAAGAACGGCACACGGCTAGTAAGCAGAATTATACCTTGAAGGGGAGAGCCTGGGAGAGACGGTGGATCCATGGCTACTCGCAGCACCCATTGCAGCACCAGTTGCGCCTGGCCAACCTCCCATTGCTCCCACGCCTCTCCCTGACCCCGAACCATATCTTCCCGAACCAGCCCTGGCTCCCACTGCCAAGCCTGCCCCTTCCACCGAGCCTGGGTACCAGGCTCGGGTGCTGCTGCTGGAGCTGCCAGTGGGGGAGGAAAAGGAGGCAGCTGTAGCACCGGCTGTAGCGCCAGCACCACCAGCACCAACACCACCAGCACCACCAGCAGCGCCAGCAGCGCCAGCAGCAGCGGCGGCAGCAGCAGCAGCAGCAGCAGCAGCAGCAGCTCTGCGGCGGGCTCGTTCCAACTCCAGGCGATGGTGGGCCATGTTGCCGTCGAACACGACTTCATCATCATCACCATCATCACGCCACTCACCAAAGTTTGGGACCACTCCTCCGCCTGCCCCTCCCCCTAACCCTCTCCCCCCTGCTCCCCCTCCTCCCATCCCCCCTCCCCTGCCACCAGCACTCCCTCCCACACCATATGTAGGCATCATGCCCCTAACCGCGCCCCCAACCCAAACCTCACCCCCATCCCCACCCCCTACTCCGCCCGTCCCGCCACCGGCCCCATACCTCCCACCACCATCATTCACACCTGGAGAATACCCTCCCCCACCCGGCAAATGCAGCTGATTCGGCCGCACCCCTGCTCCCGCCCCTGCTCCCCCCCCTGCAAACGGCCCCTCCCACCAATTGTGACTAGCCGTCTGGTTACCACCGCGGCCGCTGTTACTGCTGGGGCGGGAGGTGGAACGGCCTATGCCCCCCCTCTCTCGAGAGGAGGACGAGGCGGAGGAGGAGAGCTGCAGGGAGGAACGGAGGACCCCCATGCCTGTGTCGCTGCTGCCACTGGCTGCTGCTGCTTCTGCTGCTGCTGCTTCTGCTGCTTCTCCTGTCTCCCCTGCTGTTTCGCCTGCTACTGACGAAGCACTCGTGGCAGCAGCAGCAGCAGATGTGGGGGGCGTAGGAGGAGTGCGAGAGGGCGGGGGGGTGGTGGGAGGGAGCGCGGAGGAGGTGGAGGAGGAATTGAGGGAAGAGGCAGCTTCTGTTGCCGCCTGGCGTTCCGCCACCCGTGCTGCATACGCCTCCTCCTCCTCCTGCCGCATCCTTATCTTTGCTTCTATCACCTTCTGCTCCTCCTGTTCAGGATTAAAAAATGGCGAAACACATAAGGAACAAGAACAGAGACAATTCAAGTGTGTGACGCGAAGATGGAGAAAAACAAAAGAAAAAGTAGCCGGCGGGAAAGAACACGAGAGTTCAAACAGAGCAAGCAGCTGTGCAAGAAAGGGAGAAAATTTTCTGACTCAACTCAACCACATCATACCTCCAGCTCCACGTTTCTCTCCTCTGCTGTGCGTTTCCCCCGAAATTCCACCGAGAATGTTGGCGCCTTGCAGAACGGACACCTGAGAGGTGACACGCAGCAAGAGAAGCTGATTAGCGGTGATAGAAGGTGATTTTTGAGACGTCTCAAAAGCAACCTCGCTTCACGGACACCTGAGAGGTGACATGCACTAAGAGAAGCTGATTATCGGTGATAGAAAGGTGATAAGTGGCGAAAGAGAGGTATTCACCAGTGAACGACAGAGGTGACAGAGAGGGGGGGAGGGGTGACAAGGAAATTACGAGCGAAAAACAAGACGAGGAGGAGGAGGAGGAGGAGGAGGAGGAGGAGGAGGAGGAGGAGGAGGAGGAGGAGGAGGAGGAGGAGGAGGAGGAGGAGGAGGAGGAGGAGAGCAGGAGAGAGGAGGGAGAAGAGGAAGTAGCAGAGGAGAGTGAGCAAGGGGGAAAGAAATGAGAGGGCTGGGTGGAACTCACTGCAGCATGCTGGAGGCCGTTGGGGACTTCATTTGCAAAAAGCACTCTGCAAGGGATGTATTAACGTGAAAAGAGACGGAGCGTGTGAACAAACAAACACCAGCAGTTATTAGCGTGTTGAATTTTGAGTCGACTTCAAGTAAAAAAGAGACGGAGCATGTGAACAAACAAACACCAGCAGTTATGACCGTGCAGGTGCTTTCACGAAACAGACAGAGTTAAACAGAGTTAAAAATGGCACCGAAACGAAACAGTAGCTAGCTTACCACGGAAGGGGCAACAATGAGATTTCTTTGCATTCCTTGTTGCGAAGCTGGGTGCGTCAGCTTTGGCTGAGGACGGAGCGAAGCAGAGAAAGAGGCGTTACCTGTGCACATGCCCTTCCTGCAGCATCTCGATCGATTTAGACATGGATAGTTCTGTCAAAACAAGGGAAAAGATTACAGGAGCGAGGCACAGACAGGCAGACAGGCATCAACTATACAGGAGGACACCCGAACCATGAGACTGAGGACATCTGAATCACGCAACCCGTGAATTCCGAATCATAACTACGCCACCCATACAACAGGAGGTCAAACATCGTTACATAGATGATAACTATTACTTCACGCCTGGGGGGGGGCGGCAAGGGATTGCTTAGGAATGAGGTCCACAACCTGTACCAGCAATGTACATGAGACAAGCAATATCCCGTTGAGCAAGCAGCACTCACGAGGAAGAAGATGGGGCACTCATCCTTGTCGCTACTGGGTTCGTCCCCCCCCCCCCCCCCCCCCCCCCCCCCCCCCACGTGGCATGGCGCGAGCGAGCTTAACTTCAAGAATTATTTTCTAGTGGACTCGGAAAACACTATCGATACTCACGAGAAAACAGTTAGGGCATTCGTCGAGGTCGCTGCTGTGTTCCTCGCCGCCCACGTGGCACGGAGCTAGCAAGCTTATTCCAGGATAATTTTTGAGTGGACTCAGAAAACACTCTCAGCACTCACGAGGAAGCAGATGGGGCATTCGTCCAGGTCGCTGCTGGGTTCGTCGCCGCCCACGTGGCACGGAGCGAGCTTGGCGTCGAGAATGAGCCGTCGAAGCTTCTTCAGGTCGATGTCGCGGTGCGGGTACAGCCCCTGCGGGTGCGTGTACTGCTCCTCCACCGTATACCGTCGCTTTGTAACCTTGTTACCCATCGCTGCAGATAAGTGGTTCTTCCTGATTCGCGAACCACCTGCGGGTATGATGCTAGCAGTGTAGCAACACTATCCAATCCACACGTTACCAGGTGGAGGTCCGAGAGAAAGGCCCGCGGCCTCGCGCAACCTCCCCAGGGAACAAAGCAACGGCCTAGAGACGCGTTAGTCTACGCGTTAAGCCAACTAAGTAGCGGACCTAATCAATTCACCTAGACTCCTCCGTCGTTAGATTTCCGTTCTAGACCGAATCAGCGAATAACGAAGCTAGGGGAAGTAGACGGAGATAGCATCGCCTTGCCAGAATACAAATCCGGAGATTTCTAAAAAAGCGCTCACGCGTCAAGCTTAAATCACCACGGTCGAAGGCCTGCGAACGCCAGGTTCGGAGCTCTCAGTAGACTGAAGCCAGAACAAGCCATTGCGTGGCTCAAGGTAGGTAGGTTGCGTGGCTCAAGGCACGTTGCGAAATTCAAGGCAGAACAAGGCAGGTTCGCAGCTGCGACTCTCTACTGCAAGGACGCTTCAGTGAAAAGAGCAACCGCAAGCAGGTATTTGTTGGTAGTCGCTATCCTGCCTTTAAAACGAAGCGTTCGTGCTTGTATTAGTTGCAATCAGCGAGCACGTAGCTGCCACCAACCGACGTGCCTTCGCCCTCGTCGAACGAAGCAAGGAAGTCGGACCGTGCGACTAGCAGTAGGTAGGGACCTAAGCCACAGAACTGCAGCTACAGATTCCTAAGGGATTTTCAAACGCTCAATAGCGCTTGCTGATTCGAGAAGGAAGTACCTACAATAGAACAAGCGAAACCTATCTGTGTGGTCCGAAAGATGGCTTCTATTGACTCATTCACCGCCTTTCCCCAAGAGCTTTCTTGTAACATCGGCTGTAAGGACATGACTCATAAGTCATGAACCACACGGAGTTCCCTAGGAATACGTAGTTTCCGAGAATGGCTCTGTGCAGGTTGTGCCTCACCTGTCCGTGTCCTTCACTCCAAATCCCCTGTGGTCTCTCCTGCTGAAAACACCTTCGAACAGAGGGATTGAGAAAGTTTAGGTCTGTTACATCGCGGTTGGTGGCGGTTATGATGTATGAACTGCCTTCTGCACACCGAACCTCCAATCTAGCTCGAGCCTCTGCAATAGCCCCGTTATGGAAAAACTGACCTACCGTCGAGGCTCCTTTTGATGGTGTGTTGACGGGCAGGTCGCACGGAACGGGTATCCATGGCAAGACGACTAACCGGCGAACACCAAGCGACAGCTGTGCGCCGCCGAATTTCTGCCTTCGCTGTGGGTTATGGTTGTGTCGCTGGGTCGGTTCGGGTTTACACGCGTCGCAAGCGAATGGATGAGCGCGAGTAGGTTCGGTAATCCGAAAGAAACATTTGACTGCAGCCGCGACGAAGGGCAAGCTGGGATGGTGCAACAAACCAGAACAAGCGGTTCGCTATAGACATCACTGCGAAAAGAATAAGCAGGACATGAATCATGAAGCAATGATTGTAGCAACCTTATGAAGTTGTGGAACATCCCAAGTGGGGCATGCGTGACATAATCGAGCACATCAGATACTTTTCCTATAGTAACTCGCTTAGGAAGGCTAATAACAGGACAGAATCCGTCTTGAGCTTTCCTTTCCTTTCTCCAGCACTTGGGTGCTGGCTCTTAGTAAACCCCTCGTAGACTTCTTTGTAAGTCTCTTAGTGCCAGTGTTTCCCGCGTCGGGCTTCGGTCGTCTCGTGGATAGCCTATCTTTCGGTTCCATTCCGACACTCCCAGCTGCCTAGGTCTCTTGCTACGATGGGGACGAAGCTTCCAACGAAAGAGGCCAATCAGTTCAAGCTTATTGTGGTGCGTAGGCTTAGATTCACAAGCTCCCTCCGTAGTCAATGTCAGGATATTAGGGTCGCTCATCTGTCCACCCAGGCGTCGGAAAATGTGATTTCAATAAAGTTGAAATAGGCTTCGCCGTAATAACGTTCGGCCTAATGGCGTTTGTCCCAGCGTCGTTAACAACTGTCTTCTCAATCCCAGCAAGTTTGGACCACCTATCTCGTGATTACGTGGTTTCGTGACTACTCAATTTCTGATCTGCCTGCATTGGTGGACGTCCGTCACTGTCAGCTGATCGGGGTTTTAGTAATACGCGCGCTTCAATGTGGAAGGGTAGAGTGAAGATTCTTCCAGTCCCCTGTTTCTTTCTCGAGGAATTTGCTGCAAATCTAGCCTGTCGTGAAATGGCAGACAAAGATCCAGTCTAGCGCGTATGCTGATTACACCTCCGCGCCTCGTCCCCTAACTTAAATTCAGCTGAGCATAGAAGCTCATGCTCGGCATCACGCGTTGCGTGATATTCCGGCTGTTTGCGAGAATGCTCGGCGCCATTCGTTGGGTGATATCCTCCAAAGCACTGTATCTGCTGGTCTCAAGCCTCGCGGCCCTCCATTATCCCTTTTATCCCCTCAAACCAACCCCGTTATAAGCAGAAATCGTACGAGACGAAGCAGTACAAGAAGGGACTCAAAGCCGCGGATGCGATTCTCAAGAAGTTCCCGGAGCATGGTGGTACGCACGGACGGGACCGGGGTTGTGATTGGGCTTGTGCCTGTGCTTGTTCGTGTGCTTGTGATTGTGTTTTGAGATGAATATGGGTGGTAGGGAAGGCAGAGGGCAGAAGGGAAGGGAGAGCAGGGGGCAGCTGGGTCGAGAGAAGGGGGGCAAAGAAATGAGAACTTAAAAGTGATCCCAATGTAGCTGGCTGCGTGCACCCCTCTTGTGAAAGAGTCTCAGCTCGTGCCACATAATCGCCCGTCGGAATCCGTCGCCCATGAAGTGTTCCGCGGTGGCTTATATCGAGTATATCTTCTGACTTCCCCGCCCTCAGAGACCCTGGCGATGAAGGGTCTGATTATGAACTGCATGGAGAAGAAGACGCAGGCTTATGAGCTCGTGCGGAAGGGGCTTAAGGTACGGTACGGTTTCTCAGGCAAGTTGGTTCTTACGAGCTTGTGCTTTCCAGCTGGTGTCTATGATTACCATCCAAGTGCATCTGAGGCAACACGCAAAAACCTCCTGCCGTGTAGATTCGTTTTGAGACGTCTCAATCTCGTATTGTGGTCCTTCCGCCAACCACTCCCCCTCCCTGACCCCCACTTCCCCTTCTTCGCCTCCATCTTCCTTGACAGTTCGACCTGTCGTCCCACGTGTGCTGGCACGTGTACGGGCTGCTGTACCGGTCGGACCGGGAGTATCGAGACGCCATTAAGTGCTACCTCAACGCCCTGCGCATCGACCCCAACAACCAGCAGATCCTCAAAGACCTCTCGCTGCTGCAGGTGCGCCCACCCGCTGCTGCAGGTGACTCACAGTAAACACATGCGTGCATGCATGCATTTTCAGGTGCATTCTGTGTTTCCAGGCCCTTTTCAAATAGCTGGCGGACGTTTGTTAGGATTCTCACATCCACCCTGCAATTTCCGAACGCAGGTGCAAATGCGGGACACGGCGGGGTTTGTGGAGTCACGGCGGCAGCTGCTGACCTTCAAGCCCAACCACCGCGCCAACTGGATCGCCTTTGCTGTCGCCAACCACATCAACGGCAGGTGAGGTGGTGACAGGTGGGTGGGTGATGTGCGTGCGTGGTGTGGCTTGCGGGATGGTGGTGCGGGCGGGCGAGCGGGTGGGTGGGTCATTGACTGGCAGCTGCTGACCTTCAAGCCCAACCACCGTGCCAACTGGATCGCCTTTGCTGTCGCCAACCACATCAACAACAGGTGGGCTTAATGTGCTGTGGGTTTCGTGACAGTGTTAATGTGCAGTGGGGCTAATATTGTGGTGGGGTCATTCACAGGTGGGGTGTTGACCTTCACGCCCAACCACTGCGCCATCTGGCTCAGCTTCGCTGTCACCGCACTCGTGACGCATCCCACCGCACATCGTCGCATCCCACCATACTTTACTGCACTCCATCCCACCGTGCAGGCTGGACGTGGCGTCTCAGATCCTGTCAGCCTATGAGGGCACTCTGGAGGACGAGTCTCCTCCGGACGGGGAGAAGTACGAGCACAGCGAGATGCTGCTTTATAAGGTAACCTTGCCATAATGGGAAATTTTGGCATACGGTTCCACTGTTTTATGCAACTTTGTCCAGACAAGGATAATCTTGCGTGCAGCAAGACCGAGACGTTGTTTTCTGAAGGTTGAGGATGCCACAAAATGATAGCGGTTCTAGTGCGTGCTGCTTCCCAGCCTTCAGCACAAAAGTCTGGGCTCTCGATGGTTTGGTCTCTCAATCAGTGAAGCACCTGTGCTGAGCTTTTTTAGGGGTTTGGTTGGATGGGAGCACACGCACGCCTCCTTGAAGCACGAGGCTCGCTTTCCCGCTGCAAGATCTTCTGTCGTCTACCAACTCGTTTGCACCAACAGGATGTTCCGCTGCCTCCATTCCGTCCCGCTTGTTTTGAGACGTCTCAAAACACTTCTTTTTCCACGTGGCTGCAAGATCTTCTGTCGTCTACCAACTCGTTTGCACCAACAGGATGTTCCGCTGCCTCCATTCCGTCCCGCTTGTCCTGCTTCAGGTGTCACTGCTGGCAGAAGCAGGCAAGCACGCGGAGGCCTTGGAGGAGCTGGGCAAGAAGCAGCGCCACATCGTGAGTGGATGAAAGGGGTGAAGGGAGTGAAGGGGGATGCAGTGTACGTTCAGTGAGTAGTGGAGTGAGAGAGTGTGAGGTGTCGCTGCTGGCGGAAGCAGGCAAGCACGCGGAGGCCCTGGAGGAGCTGGGCAAGAAGCAGCACCACATCGTGAGTGGAGGGGGTCAAGGGGGTGAAGGGGTTCAAGTCAAGACTCAAGGGGTTCAAGGGATGCAGGATGTGTGGCTGGGATGGTAGGGGAAGTTTGGGGACTTGGGCGGAGCATTCTGAGTGAGAGTGTGAGCATCTCACTTACCTCTTTGGCGTCCCTCACTCACCACCTTGTAAAGCTTCTCTCTGGTTGCGTTCATGGAAGTCAGTCTAGTCAATACAGAACGTTTTTGAGGCGCCTCAAAAACGACCTTTGGCGTCCCTCACTCACCACCTCAGTCGTCCCATAAAGCGACTCTCTGGTTGCGTTCATGGAAGTCAGTCTAGTCAATTCAGGAATGTCTTCCATCCGTGTGTTAACTGACAAGCTGGGAGTGAGGGAGCAGAGGGCGGAGCTGCTGCACCTGACAGGCTGTCTTGAGGAGGCTAGAAGCGAGTACGAGGCGCTTTTGGCTAAACGTTTGACCTTTCTCCATCCCTGCCTCATCTGTGTGTTCCCCTCCCCCGCAGGTGGACAAGCTGGGAGTGAGGGAGCACCGGGCGGAGCTGCTGCACCTTACAGGGCGTAGCGAGGAGGCTAGAAGCGAGTACGAAGCTCTGCTGGCCATCAACCCGGACAACTACAAGCACTACGAGGGGCTGCAGGCGTGCATGGGGCTGAAAGCGAGTGCTGCGGATGGCAGTTATACGCCGGAGCAGCTGGCGCAGCTAACGGAGCTGTTCAAAGGGCTGCAGGAGAAATACCCCAAGTCCGCTGCTGCTAAGGTGAGACGCAGACTGCTAAAGTGAGAAAGTGGTCTTGCAGCAAGGGTGGGAGCTTGTTTCTGCTCTGATCCCACTTAATTAACAAGAGGTCCTCCCCCTCCGTGCTGCGCTCACTCACTCACTCACTTCCGCTAGAGAGTACCTCTGTAAATGCAACTCGGCCTTGCATCCTCGGGTCACCGACTGGTGACTGGCGACTGGTGACTGGCGACTTGTGACTGGCGACTGGTGACTGGCGACTGGTGACTAGCGACTGGTGACTGGCGACTGGTGACTGGCGACTGGTGACTAGCGACTGGTGACTGGCGACTGGTGACTGGCGACTGGTGACTGGCGACTGGCGACTGGCGACTGGTGACTGGCGACTGGTGACTGGCGACTGGTGACTGGCGACTGGCGACTGGCGACTGGTGACTGGCGACTGGTGACTGGCGACTGGTGACTTGCGACTGGGTGTTTTCCACTTATCCCTTCTCAACTCAAGTTCCCTTCCCCTTCTGTGCCGCTCTCACCTTTCACCAGAGAATACCGCTGGACTTTCTCCAAGGGGCAGACTTCGAGGCAGCCTTGCAGCCACACGTGAGGCGGTTCATCCGCAAGGGCATCCCCTCGCTCTTCTCCGACCTTGAACCGCTCTACGACCAGCCAGGCAAGGTGAGCAGAGAGAGAGGCAAGGTGGGCAGAGGGAGAGGCAAGGTGGGCAGAGGGAGAGGCAAGGTGGGCAGAGGGAGAGGCAAGGTGGGCAGAGGGAGAGGCAAGGTGGGCAGAGGGAGAGGCAAGGTGGGCAGAGGGAGAGGCAAGGCAAGGAGGCGGGCTTTTGAGTCGACTCATACGTGGGGCGGTTTACTCGCAAGGGCATCCCCTCCCTCTTCTCCGTCCTTGAACCTCTCTACGACCAGCCAGGCAAGGTGAGCAGAGAGAGAGGCAAGGTGAGCAGAGAGGCAAGGTGAGAAGAGAGGCAAGGTGAGCAGAGAGAGAGGCAAGGTGGGCAGAGGGAGAGGCAAGGTGGGCAGAGGGAGAGGCAAGGTGGGCAGAGGGAGAGGCAAGGTGGGCAGAGGGAGAGGCAAGGTGGGCAGAGGGAGAGGCAAGGTGGGCAGAGGGAGAGGCAAGGCAAGGAGGCGGGCTTTTGAGTCGACTCATACGTGGGGCGGTTTACTCGCAAGGGCATCCCCTCCCTCTTCTCCGTCCTTGAACCTCTCTACGACCAGCCAGGCAAGGTGAGCAGAGAGAGAGGCAAGGTGGGCAGAGGGAGAGGCAAGGTGGGCAGAGGGAGAGGCAAGGTGGGCAGAGGGAGAGGCAAGGTGGGCAGAGGGAGAGGCAAGGTGGGCAGAGGGAGAGGCAAGGTGGGCAGAGGGAGAGGCAAGGCAAGGAGGCGGGCTTTTGAGTCGACTCATACGTGGGGCGGTTTACTCGCAAGGGCATCCCCTCCCTCTTCTCCGTCCTTGAACCTCTCTACGACCAGCCAGGCAAGGTGAGCAGAGAGAGAGGCAAGGTGAGCAGAGAGGCAAGGTGAGAAGAGAGGCAAGGTGAGCAGAGAGGCAAGGTGGGGAGGGCGGTTTCTGAGTTGACTCAGACGTGAGGCGGTTTATCCGCAAGGGCATCCCCTCGCTCTTCTCCGATCTTGAACCGCTCTACGACCAGCCAGGCAAGGTGAACAGAGAGGTGGGGAGAGAGGTCAAAGTGACGTGATGACTTGGGAGTCAATGCAACGGCATCCCCTCCCTTTTCTCCAACCGCGAACCTCTCTACAACCAGCCAGGCAAGGCGAGGATGAGAAATGTGAAGGAATGGGTTATGAATCAGTCTGCAAGCAATGGTGGGAAGGTGACTCTTGAGTCGATGCAACAGCATCCCCTCCCTTTTCTCCGACCGAACCTCTCTACAACCAGCCAGGCTGACATCATGGGCCGTGTGTTCTCAGCCATGCTCCGCTCCACTCTGTCCGCTCTTACAGCATGATTCCCCTTCTCATGCTCTCTCGTCACCCGCCTTCCTTTCATGTTCCTGCATGGCAATCAATCCTCGACGCACAGCTGGCCATCATAGACCGTGTCTTCACAGCCATGCTCCACTCCACTCCACCCCATCGACCCGCCAGCATGATTCCCATTCTCATGCTCTCGAGACACGCGCCTTCCTTCCCCGTTCCCCCGTGCACCCCCCACCCCACAGGTGGCCATCATGGGCCATGTCTTTACAGCCGTGCCCCACTCCATCGCTCCTTCATCAGAATTCGCATTCTCATGTTCTCAATTCTCCCTCTGATTTTCCAGTGCTCGAAACCCATTGCACCCCTTGTCGCACAGGTGGACATGATGGGTTGTGTCTTCACAGCCATGCCCCACCCATTCGGTGTTCTCCCTTCTCCCTCCTATTTTCCACTGCTCCAAACCCCATTGCACCCCTCCGGACCGCACAGGCGGACATCATGGACAAGGTCTTCACAGCCATGCTCCACTCCATTCGCTCCTCCGGAAAATTCCCTCCTCTCAGGTGCCCTCCTCTCAGGTGCCCTCCTCTCAGGTGCCCTCCTCTCAGGTGCCCTCCTCTCAGGTGCCCTCCTCTCAGGTGCCCTCCTCTCAGGTGCCCTCCTCTCAGGTGCTCTCCTCTCAGGTGCTCTCTCTAGCGCTCTAGGGCTCAGCTCCGCCTCTCTACGTTCTACCCATTTATCCAAGCTTGCTTATACCCATGGACGTCAGCCCATTTTCCTGATATTCGCGGCAGCTTTCCTTTTTGCCGCCAGCTTGCTGCTCACCTCATGTTTGATCATTCTCAAACGTTTCTGGGTGGATGGGTGTATGTCTGGTTCCAAATGGAAGTGGAACCAGCCAGGTATGTTCTACGCCCCACATTTGATCTCTTCGTCACTAGACAGTTGTCTTTTTTCAGTTAGATAGAGGATTCGCCAGTTGATTTCCCCGGCCTACGCACTCCAAATGTTTTCCTTGCACACGTGGCTTCATATCTTGTTTGCTTCTGTGATTCTGTTCTCTGCCGCCCGTCCCATCCCTTGTCCATCCCTCCAGTGACTCGTCAGCAGAAGAGGACAAAGAAAACCCCTCTGTGCTTCTCTGGCTGCTGTATCTTATGGCTCAGGTACAGGGTTGAGGGTTTAGGATTCCCCTGTGTGGCTCTTGAATACGTCAAATTAGTTGACGTCAGAAGAGGACAAAGAAAACCCCTCTGTGCTTCTATGTACGCATACATCCCCCTATGTGGCTCTTGAATACGTCAAATTAGTTGACTTCAATTTATTTCCTGCTGGTGGAGTGGAGCTATATCTAAATGATTCAGGCATAGTTTTGATTGAGGCGCCTCAAATCTAGACTTTTCTGCTGGTGGAGCTATATCTGTATGATTCAGGCATTCACTGCTGGTGGAGCTATATCTCCGTTATGTCTTTCCCTCTTTCTCTGTCTCTCGCTCTGCCCTGATTCGCAGCATCTGGACAGGAGGGGCAAGGTGGAGGAGGCATTGGCGATCGTAGACGAGGCGATTGCTCACACGCCCACACTCATGGATGCCTACTTGGTCAAGGTGGGTGGGTGGGTGGGTGGGCGGGCGGGCGGGCGGGCGGGCGGGTGGGTGGGTGGGTGGGTGGGTGGGTGGGTGGGCACTAGTCATACCAAGGTGCGCACGAGTCTGCCTTGGTGTAACATATACAGCAAAGGGCAGTGGGCATGATATGATATCCCAAACCCCTCCCTTATTCCCCTCCCTTTCCCCTCCCCCCCCTCCCCCCCCCCCGCCCGTCTTTTCTTTCTGTCTACCACCAAGCACGCATCCTGGTGACTTCACAAGGCGGATTCTCTTTCTGTCTAGTCGACCACCAGGCGGGTGACTTCACAGCAGCAGCGCAGCTGAGAGGTGTATTTTGAGGCGCCTCAAAATACACCTCACTTTTCTTTCTGTCGACCACCAGGCGGGTGACTTGATAGCAGCAGTGCAGCTGCCAATCCCCCAGAGCCCCACCCCCCTGCCTTCTCCTCTTCCCCTCAACCCCCTCCCCTCCCCCTCTCTCTTGTCTCTTTCTCTTCCGCTTTACGACCAGGCGCGTATTCTGGACAGGGCGGGGGACTTCACAGCAGCAGCGCGGCTGGCAGACGAGGCAAGGAGCTTGGACCTGGCGGACAGATACCTCAACTCGGAGGCCGTCAGGCACATGCTCAGGGCCGACCAGGTGGAGTTGGGTGGTGGGGCTGGGTGGTGTGGTTGGTTGGTGCTCTTGGGTGGTATGGCCTGTTTGAGTAGTGAGACTTGAAAAGCGCCCGGTAGTATGGAGGGAGACAAGGCGAGATGCTTGGATCGGATCCGGCTGACAGGTACCAAGCTGCTCAGATCAGAAGCGAAGCAGTCTCTGCTAAGCTGCTCACCTTTGATACCTGATCCAGCTGACAGATACCTGATCCAGCTGACAGATACCTGATCCAGCTCACAGATACCTGATCCAGCTGACAGATACCTGATCCAGCTCACAGATACCTGATCCAGCTGACAGATACCTGATCCAGCTGACAGATACCTGATCCAGCTCACAGATACCTGATCCAGCTCACAGATACCTGATCCAGCTCACAGATACCTGATCCAGCTCACAGATACCTGATCCAGCTCACAGATACCTGATCCAGCTCACAGATACCTGATCCAGCTCACAGATACCTCAACTCAGAAGCGAAGCGGTCAGGCATTTGCTCAGGCCTGACCAGGTAGGGATGGAAGGCAGCAGAAGGGGGGCGACCCAGAATGCATGAGGTATGGTAATCAGGGAGGAGAGGAGAGTGTTTGGGTGTGGCTGAGATACAAGTCAAACGCTTCTGCTCGTGTGCTTGCTCATCTCTCCCTCCCCCTGTCCTCGGTCATGCGCCCGTGTGTATCTCGACTCGACTTTTGGGTCGACTCAAAAGTCACCCCATGTGTATCTCGACTCGAACTTCATCCGTGTGTTCCCCCCTCCCCCTCCTCCTATCTGGGTGCGTGTGTATGGGTTCAGGTGGATCTAGCAGAGAAAACAGCAGCGCTCTTCACCAAGCACGGCGACCAGCATGAGAACCTCTTCGACATGCAGTGCATGTGGTGGGTGCATTGCGGTGCATGTGGGTGCAGTGCGGTGCATGTGGGTGCAATACGGTGCATGCGGGTGCATGCAATGCATATGATGAATGTGATGTGATGGTTGTAACGCATCCCAACCACCCACCCTCCGTCCCCCATCCCATGGCACCGCCACCGCTCCGCACAGGTACAACCTGGCGGGTGGCTGTCTCCACGTACTTCGATGCCCGACTTTTACCTGCAGCAGAGCAACTTCAGCCGGGCATCGAAGAACGTCAGAAGCTACATGTGTTTTGGAACCTCAACATAACCGCATCCCACCCCATCCCATCCCATCCCATCACATCTCACCCCACTGCTGTGTGCGTGCAGGTACGAGCTGGCGGGTGGAGACAGCTACCTGCGGCAGAAGAACTACGGGCGGGCCTTGAAGAACTACCTCTCAGTGCACAAGCACTACAATGACATGGTCAGTGCGGTGGTTCAATGAGCCGTTTCAGATGTCACACGGTCAGTGTGGTGGTTAACAGGTCACATGCTGCAAGCACCGGGCCTTGAAGAACTACCTCTCAGTACACAAGCACTACAATGACATGGTGAGTGTCGCTGGAGCATGGGTGCCGTCTTGCATGCTGCATGGTTCAAGCACCCACGACAAGCACAGGGCCTTGAAGAACTACCTCTCAGTGCACAAGCACTATAATGACATGGTCAGTTCAGCGTTCGGCGTGTCACATGGTGAGTGTGCCTTTGAGGTGTGATGGTAAAGAGCTACCTGGCAGTGCACAAGCACTACAACAACATGGTCAGTGCGGCGTTTGGCGTTTGGCATGTGATATGGTGAGTGTGCCTTTTAGGTGTGATGGTAAGGAGCCACCTGGCTGGCAGTGCACAAGCACTACACCAACATGGTCAGTGCGGCGTTTGGCACATCACATACATGGTCAGTGCGGCGTTTGGCACATCACATACATGGTCAGCAGCGCGTTGTTTGGCATGGCATGGCATGTCACATGGCTGGCCAGTAATGTGCACCAGTGCATGCGTCTCACTCTCAGGGTCCTCTGCGTGGAGGTCTGTCTGTCTGTCTGCTCTGCTGCCCTGCTCTGCTGCCCTGCTCTGCTGCCTTGCTCTGACTACCATTCCTTCCACCCCTCTCCCCACTCCCCCCCCGTCTCCCCCCGGCAGATCGAGGATCATTTCGACTTCCACACCTACTGTCTGCGCAAGATGACCCTCAGGGCCTACGTGGCCACCCTCCGCTGGGAGGACCATCTTCACGCCTCGCCCTTCTTCTGCCAGGGCGCCGTGGGCGCCGTGGGAGCTGTGCGGTACCATGCGGTGCTGTCTGGTGCTGCAACTCCCCTCGCTTTCTCTCACCATCCGCCACCCACCCGCTTCCTTTCCTTTTCTCACATCTCCCCCCGGCAGATCGAGGATCAGTTCGACTTCCACACCTACTGTCTGCGCAAGATGACCCTCAGGGCCTACGTCGCCACTCTCCGCTGGGAGGACCATCTTCACGCCTCGCCCTTCTTCTGCCAGGGCGCCGTGGGCGCTGTGCGGTGCTATGTGGCTCTGCATGACCGGCCGGTGGTGAGGGAGGAGGCGAAGGAGGAGGACAAGGCCAAGATGAGCGGGGCGGAGCGGAAGAGACTGCAGAAGGAGCAACGGAGGAAGAAGGTGAGTGAGCGAACGGGTGTGTTCGGGAAGGAAGGGTTGGGGCAGGTGGGAAGGTGAGAGATTGAAGAAGGAGCAGTGGGAGGGGGGAAGAGCCATGTTGACCTGTGCTGCTCAACCTCCCCTGTATTCTCCATTGCTCTTTTTTGAAATACCTTTTCCACCCCTGCCCTCCTGTGTGCATTGCTCTGTGCTCTCTTGTTTCCCGTTTGGGTAAGCAGGAGGAAGAGGAGGCAGCAGCAGCTGCTGCAGCGGCGGCAGCGGCAGCAGCAGCCAAGGCAGCCAAGAAGGGAGGTTCGGCCAAGCCTGTCGATGCCGACCCTGATGGGGTGAAGCTCACTGAGGTGCGTGCTTTTGCCTGAACGATACGGTGCTATGCGGTGCTGTGCATGTGTGTGCATGTGTGTGCATGTGTGTGCATGTGTGTGCATGTGTGTGCATGTGTGTGCATGTGCTTTCTGTGATTGCTGACCATCATCCATGTGTTGCTGTGCATGCATGAATGCATGCATGCATCAGTGTGACATGCATGAATCAAAGCACCTTTCGCTGCTGCTGCTGCTGCTACAGCACGTGGGGGGGTAACCTTTGTACTGACAATATGTCAAAACACCACTACTTCCATTCGCGCAGGTGGAGGACAAGCTAGCAGAGGCCTCCAGGCACCTCTCGCTGCTGCTGCAGCACGCCAGCTCGGACCTACCTTTCAGTCCACTCAAATCTCACCACACCACCACCTTTTCTTCCCAAAGAGGTGACTTTTGATCCGACTCAAAAGTCATCTCACCACACCACCACGTTTTCATCCCACACCTCGTTCAGGTGGAGGACAAGCCAGCAGAGGTGTCAAGCACCTCTCACTGCTGCTGCAGCCGGCCCGGAGCTACTGTTTGAGTCAACTTGTATCACTTCTGACCACGTGTCTGTGTGAACTCATTCCTCCCACACCTCGTGCAGGTGGAGGACAAGCTAGCAGAGGCCTCCAAGCACCTCTTCTTGCTGGTGCAGCACGCCGGCTCGGAGCTGATCTTTACAGTCAGACTAAGATAAGCTCAATACACCATTACTCCCACCCACACCTCGTTCAGGTGGAGGACAAGCTAGCAGAGGCCTCCAAGCACCTTTCTCTGCTGCTGCAGCACACCGTGAGATGACCTTGGAGCATCGGATAAAAAGTGTGTCTACACACTTTGATTCCCATTTGCGCAGGTGGAGGACAAGCTAGCAGAGGCCTCCAAGCACCTCTCGCTGCTGCTGCAGCATGCCGGATCGGAGCTCTCGTCGCTGCAAGTGGCGTTTGATGTGTTCTCGCGGAAAAAGAAGCTCCTGCTGTGCCTGCAGGTGAGTCTTGGCCTGCGACGGAAGAATTGTCATTGTCTTACTCACATGCCTTGTGTCCTGAGGGTCCCAACGTGCTCCCTCACTTGCTCCCTCACTTACTCGCTCACTTGCTCGCTCACTCCCACTCACTCTCACTCACTCACTCACTCACTCACTCACTCGCTCGCTCACAATGTCACTTCCATCCTCCTCTGTCTCGTCGCGCTCTCCTCTGTGCCTCAGGTGGTGCGGCGGTTGCTCAAAGAACATCCACATGCACCCCTTACACACTCGTGCCTGGTACGTATGTGTGTGCATGTGTGTGTGCATGTGTGTGTGCATGTGTGTGTGCATGTGTGTGTGCATGTGTGTGTGCATGTGTGCGTGTATGTGTGTGTGGATGTGTGCGTGCATGCGTGTGTGTGTGTGTGTGTGGATGTGTGCGTACGTGCATGTGTGCGTGTGTGTGTGTGTGGATGTGTGCGTACGTGCATGTGTGCATGTGCATGCATACATCCACATGCACCCCTTACACACTCTTGCCTGGTACGTATGTGTGTGTGCTTGCATGTGTGCATACATGTGTGCATACATGTGTGCATACATGTGTGCATACATGTGTGCATACATGTGTGCATGCATGCGTGCGTGCATGTGTGCTTGCAAGATGCACATGCGCCCATCACCCTCTCCTGCCTGGTATGTGTGTCACTTCCCCTCCACCCCATCCCATCCAACCCATCCCTGCTTCACGACCGCATCCACCCCATCCAACCCATCCCAACCCCACCCCAACCACCACAGGTTCGGTTCTTCCTCACAGTGCGTGACCTTCCCCCGGCAGAATCAGAATCAGATAAAATCGTCCGCGCAGTCATCGAAGCTGAGAGGGCTGATCTGGGGTGGGTGGCACAAGGGGAACCAGGGGGGTAGGGGGGTATTGGTGGGGGTATGGGGGGCAATGGTGAGGGCGAGAGTGCTCGTTCATTGGGTCGTTGTGGGGGTCCGGACGTGTGCGTCAGTGTGAGTGCTCTTTCCTCGTGTGCTTGCTTGCCCTTTTTTTTTTTTTTTTCAAACGCATTTACCTTCTCTTCCCCTGCCCTTTCTGCCCCCTCCCGCCCCTCCTCGTCCTCCCACCCACTCCTACCCCTTCTACCCACTCGTACCCACTCCTGCTCCTGCCTACCCCCCCAGTATATCTGAAAACCTGTCAGCAAGCTTGCAAGAATGCAACGAGGCCTTTTTGGAGGCACACAGAGGTGCGAAGCTGCTGTTACTCTCCCTTGTGTATCTTTCCGGACGTCTCCCGTCTGCTCTGTCTCCTGGCTTGGGTTCTCGATTGTCCCTGCTTCTCCCCCTTCCCTTTCTTCGCTCCCTCTCTCCACCCCTCCATTCCAGTCTCATGATCATGCTGTGTTCTGTTGGACACTCCGTCAGTGCACCACCATACCACCACCATACCATCACAATGTCGTGTGACGATTTTTGAGGCACCGAAGAAATACACCATCATGCCACCACCATACCATCAATATGTCATGTCCCACCCCATAGCACCCCATCTCCTCTCGTGTCACCATCAATCCATCTCCATGCCTCCCCATCCACCCCAACGCCACCACCATGCCATGCGAGCAGATAGCTTGGCGCACAGGGCAGCAGCAGCGGAGGCCATGGCCATGCTGGATCCCTCCCTCAAGGCGCGCGCCACTGCCGTCATCCACGACTCGCAAGAGCCCCTGGCGAAGAGGTAAGGCCTAGAGTGCATTTCAGCAGGCAAGCAGGGATCATCCGGTATGCGCCTTTCTCAACCACAGACAGGGCAGCAGCAGCGGAGGCCATGGCCATGCTGGACCCCTCCCTCAAGGCGCACGCCACTGCCGTCATCCACGACTCTCAAGAGCCGCTCGCCACAAGGTAGGTCCTACAGTGCAGCCTACCGGTTCATTATATATACAGGGGCCTCACAGACAGGGCAGCAGCAGCGGAGGCCATGGCCATGCTGGACCCCAAGTCTCAAGGCGCGGGCTCTCTCTGTCAAGACCTCATCCACGACTTGCAAGAGCCCCTCACCACAAGGTACGGTCTACATTGCATTGCCTTCCTCCCATACCTCATTCCCATACATCACTGCCGTACCCCTCTCCCATACCTCGCTCCCATACCTCACTCCCATACCTCACTCCCATGCCTCTTTCCCATACGCCGCTCCCATACCTCAACCAGTGCATGGCTTTTGAGGCGCTTCAAAAGGCGCACTTGTGACACTCTTCAGCTCCTCTCCCCTCCTGCCCCCTCCTCCCCCCTCCTGCCCCTTCCTCCCCCCTCCTGCCCCCTCCCTCCGTCTCCCTCCTCCCTTGCTGTTACGTCCAGTGGCGGAGCATTGGTGAAGGGAGTGGGAGAGTGGTCCCTAGACCAGTGAACGACTTTTGAGGCGCCCCAAAAGGCGCGTGTGTGACCTCTTGAATCCTCCACCCTCCCCACTCCCTCCTTCCTTCCTCTCCCTTCCTCTCGTGCTGTTGTCACCTCCAGTGGCGGAGCATTGGCGGAGGGAGTGGGCGAGTGGTCCCTAGACAAGTGCACAGCTTTTGAGGCACCTCAAATTCGCGTGTGTAACCTCGTGAATCCCCCTCAATCCTTCATTTTCCCCTCCTGTTGCCTTTAGTGGCGGAGCATTGGCGGAGGGAGTGGGCGAGTGGTCCCTAGACCAGTGCACGGCGGTGCATCGGCTGCTGCAGGAAGGCCCTCTTGCTGATGAGGCGGCTGCACAAAGTGAGTTGTGAATTATCTCGGAGAGTTTAGTAAGCTTGTCATAATGTGTGTTGTTTCGAGTGCACTGCAATGCATCGACAGTTGCATTACGGCCTTTCGGCCGATGACTGGTGTGCAGAGCGATTTCCCTACTCGCAGCAATTTGAGGGGAAATGCTTGAGTCAACTCTAAGATCTCTCAACACCCCTCATCCCCAACACCCAGGATGGAACGACCGGTGTGCGGAGCGATTTCCCTACTCGCAGCATTTCGAGGGCAGCAAGAGCTCCGCGAAAGCACCACCACCGGTGGCTGATGGCGGTGATGAGGACGGGGAGGAGGGCAGTGCTGCTGGTGCTGCTGCTGGGGAGAACGGGGTGGTGGAGTAGGGTGTGGAGTGGTGGAGTAGGTAGGGTGTGGAGTGGTGCAGTTCTCTACTTGCAGCGCTTTGAGGGGAGTAAGAGCTCTGTGAAAGCACCACCACCGGTGCTGATTGGGGGGCGGAGGACGGGGAGGAGGAGAGCGCTGCTGCTGGCGCTGCTGCCAGGGATAACGGAGTGGTGGGGTATGGTCTGTGGTGGTGGATTAGGGTGTGCGGTGGTGGAGTATGACTCCAACGCTAAAATGATGGGTTGTTGTAACAGCCTTTCCAGCGTAGGTTGGCTGGTGGTGTAGGAATGAGATCGACATGCCAAAAATCAATAAAATAATTGGCATGATGTGTGGCGTGGTGTCATTCGTACACCGTTTCACCTCAAAACGTTACGATTCCAGCCCAGTTGTTACTTCTTCCCTTATCGCTGCCAGTGCACATGCACCACAGCAAACACGAATTAGAACCCATGGTGCCAGCCCCTCAGGAGTCAACGAAAAAAGGCTGATTAGGGGTAAAAAGGCCGTGATTTCAGTGGTGGGGGAATAGAGGGGCTATTGTGGCAGCCTTCTTTTAAGTGTGTTTGCTGAAAGTTCAGGTTTTTTTTTTATCTTTCTGTGCTGAATGTTGTATGGGGGTCTGTCAAATGTTGTAGCCTGTAGCGAGGCTTGTCTAAGGGGGTACAAATATTAGGGTTTGCTATATGTACCCCAACCCACATCAATGAACACACAATTCAGTTTCTGACATTGTATCACCTATGTTAGGATCCTATAGGATCCCGTTCCTCTTGCCCGAGCCTCACGCTCCTCACCCGTCCCGTCTTGCCTCGTAACGCTGCAGTTGCGCCCCTTTCGTACGCCCGTCCGCCGCGCGCCTGCAATCACGCTTGCTGCAGCGCGTTCTGCCCGTTCTCGCGCCCGTCCCCGCGCGTCTCGCCTTGCTGCAGCCCGCGCGTCGCGCCCTGCTGCAGCCCGCGCGCCGCGCACTCCTGCAGCCTGCGCGCCGCGCCCTGCTGCCCGCGCGTCGCGCTCTGCTGCAGCCCGCGCGTCGCGCCCTGCTGCCCTGCACAGCGCGCGCCCTGCTGCCCGCGCCGCCCAGCACGAGCCGCCCTGCCCAACCCGATCCAGCCTGCTACTGCTACTACTTGTGGAGGTACTGCTAGGAGTACTGGAGGTGCTGCAGCCTAGCCTCGCCGAGCCGCTCTACTGCTCTTACTGCTACTGCTGCTACTCGTGCTACTGCCTTCACTCCGTACTGCCCTAGATGTCACGCTCCTCCTAGATTGCCCGCCATGACTTCACTTAGCAGCAGCAGTGGGAGTGGTGCTGGCGGTGGTGGCAGCAGTGGGAGTGGTGGCGACCGTAGTAGCAATCACTGTAGCGCTATTCGGTGCGGAGTTTCTGGCGGTGGACAGATGCAGCTACAGCGGCGTCCGACCCTTACGCCCCAGCAGCTTCGTGAGTGGCTTTACCAGCGTGGGACGTCTCCGAGTCCTGGTCGCTACCCGTACGTCATTCGCACAGGTCGTCGAGCTGGTCAGACCTGTGGGACAGCTGGTCACCCACAGTCCCGCTGCTTCTCTTATTTAAGTGACGCCTGGCACGCAGAGTTTGGAGACGAGGCTGAGATCCCCCACTGGCTTGAGCTGCTTAGGTCGGGCGTTGATGTCTTTGCTTTAGACCATGATGCCATCTTTACTGTATGCTTTGCCTGGTGGTGCTGAGGGCGATTGTTACCTGTGTGTGAAGCACGACCCTAGTATAGAGGTTACTGCTCTAGGCGCTAGTGATGCTACTGCCTTAGGTGCTAGAGAGTCTGCTCTCTCAGGTACTGCGCCTACTGAGGCCTTGCACACCTTCACGCTTGACTCAGGTGCTTCCCGCTGTTTCTTTTGCGACAGTACCGCACTCACGCCACTTCCTGCACCTGTTGCAGTGTCTCTGGCTGACCCCTTAGGGGGCCCACTTCTGGCACGGTCCACCACTGTGCTCTCGTGCCCGGCGGTTCCGTCTGGCTCACTGACAGGCCTCCACCTCCCCTCGTTCTCTACGAACTTGGTGAGCAATGCAGTTCTCCAGGACTAGTGGGTTGACACCTTTACCCTTGGAGGACAGCGTGTGGCGATCTATACGTGCTCCCGGATTGGCCGCCACCTAGCCACGCTTACCCGTCGGCCAAGGTCGAGTCTTTACACACTAACGACTGCGCCTCCTCAGGTAGCTGCTACTGGTCAGGTGTCTGCGTCAGGTCAGGTAGCCTCCCCTTGTGAGTGTCGCTCCCTGTCGCACCAGACTCTTCTCTGGCACCACCGTCTGGGTCACCCCTCCTTGCCACTTCTACGTGACATGCACCGTCGCCTCCTTGTGTCTGGTCTTCTCCGGTCTCTCCCTCCCCTCCCTGACTCGCCTGCGCCGCCCTGCCTTCCTTGTGTCAAAGGGCGGCAGCGCGCCGCTCCTCACTCCTCGTTTCCCCCCAGAGAGGCTCCCCTTCAGACCCTCCACATGGACGTGTGGGGCCCAGCCCACGTTCGTGGACTGGACGGCGAGCGGTACTTTCTGTTGGTTGTCGACGACTACTCGCGTTACACCACGGTCTTCCCCTTGCGCACCAAGGGTGAGGTCCCTGCTTTCCTGATCCTTTATATCCGAGCAGTTCGTCTCCAGCTCCGCCGCAGGTTTCGCCAGGACCTCCCTGTCCTGCGTCTCCACTCTGACAGAGGTGGTGAGTTCTCCTCCGACCTCTTGCGGGCCTTCTGTTAGGGGGAGGGCATCCTCCAGTCGTTCACGCTCTCGGGCTACCCGCAGCAAAATGGGGTTGCTGAGCGCCGCATTGGCTTGGTCATGGAGATCGCTCGTACCTCCTTGATCCATGCGGCGGCTCCCCATTTTCTGTGGCCGTTTGCGGTCCGGTACGCCGCGTAGCAGCTCAACCTCTGGCCCCTTGTCTCCTTGCCGGAGACCTCGCCAACACTGCGTTGGACGGGAGAGGTTGGCGATGCATCGCGTTTCCAAGTCGGGGGTGCTCATGCCCTTGTCTGCGATACGTCCGCGGACAAGCTCTCCTCCCGCACCATTCCCTGTGTCTTCCTTGGCTTTGTCCCTGACGCGCTTGGCTGGCAGTTTTACCACCCCACCTCATGCCGTGTCTTCTCGTCTCAGGACGTCACCTTTGACGAGTCGGTTCCTTTCTACTGTCTCTTCCCCTACCGCACTGCCCCTCTCCCTCCCCCGCCGCTTTTCCTTGCTCCAGGTCCCCCTCCGGTAGACCCCCTCCCCCCTCAGGGTCCTGCCCCTTCAGAAGTGTCTCAGGTAGACCCACTCCCCTTGGCTGAGCTTGTAGAGGTCACTAGCGACTCAGGTGCTGCTGTGGGTGGTGCTGCTCAGGGTATTGCGTCTGGGGGTGCTGAGCCTGCGCGTGAGGTGCTGGGGGGTGCGGAGCCTGGGGGTGGTGAGCTTACGTGTGTGGAGCCTGGGGGTGCTGAGCCGGAGAGTGCTGAGTTTGGGGGTCTCTCTTCACGACGGGGTCCTCTCTCACCACACCAGCTACGAGAGTGGCTGGCGTGGCATACCCGCCTGAGGAGTCGTGCTGCTGGTGCTGGAGGTACTGCTACTCGAGGTGCTGCGGTTGGAGCCGCTGGAGCTGCTCGTCGTGGAGGCGCTGGGGGTGTTGGCGCTGAGGGTCCTGGAGGTGCTCGTACCGGAGGTACTTGAGCTGCCGGGGTCCGTGGTGCTGGAGGCATCGGAGCTGGAGACCCGCGCGTTGGAGTTCGAGACCTTGGAGCTGGAGGTGCTGGCCCAGGGGGTACTCAGTCTGTTGGTGCTGAGCCTAGGGGTGCTGAGTCTGCTGGAGGTCCTCCTGGTGCCGCGTTGCAGCGGTCACCTCTCTCGCCGCGGCAGCTGTGCGAGTGGCTTGCTTCGTGCACCCGCCTTCGGAGTCGCGCTGCCGGAGCTGGAGGCACTGGAGCTGGAGGCGCTGGAGCTGGAGACCCCGGGGCTGGAGGTGCGAGTTCTGGGGGTACTGCTGCTGGAGACACTGGAGCTGGGGGGCCTGGAGCTGGTGCTGTCGACCCTGGAGTTGGAGACCCTGGAGCTGGAAGTGCCGGATCTGGGGGTGCTACTGCTGGGGGCACTGGAGCTGGAGGCTCTGGAGCTGGTGTTGTCGACCTTGGAGTTGGAGACCCTAGAGCTAGAGGTGCCGGTTCTGGGGGTGCTGCTGCTGGAGGCCCTAGAGCTAGAGGCTCTGGAGCTGGTCCTGTCGACCCTGGAGTAGGAGACACCGGTTCCAGGGGTGCTGCTGTTGGAGGCCCTGGGGCTGGAGGTTCTGGAGCTGCTGGAGGAGCTGGTGCTGCTGGTGCTCGCCCTGGAGGTGCTGGAGCTGCCGGGGCTGGTGGTGCTGCGGGCTTTGGAGCTGGAGGCACTGGCGCTGGAGGCGCTGGAGCTGGAGACCCTGGAGCTGGAGGTACTAGAGCTGGAGGCGCTGGAGCTAGAAGCGCTAGAGCTGGAGGTTATGCTGCTGCTGGAGGTGCTGGTGCTGGTGGTACTGGTGCTGGTGGTACTGCACAGCCGCGACTTTTCTTCGCTTCGCCGTCACTGTCGTCTCTGCCACCACCTGACTCCGTGCTTCGCCAGGTTCTTAGCCTCCCGTCTTCTACTGGCCTCCCGTTACAGCCATGCTCTCCGCTCCCTGCTCCTTCTCCTTATACTGAGCAGACAGACTTGCTTACAGAGCGTCGTGAGCCTGCGTCTCGTCCTGCCTCACCTGTTCGCGCTGGTCGCACTGGTCGTCGTATTCCTTGTGAGCATCCTCCTCCTGTCCCCTGCACGCACACTATGGCACTTCGTCCTTCCTCTGTTCCACAGCGTGTTCCCCTGCCGTCTCCTCCTGCGTCCTCTCTTCCGCGCATTCCGGACCCTGAGTTTGACTTAGCTCGTGCTGCCAGCACTACTGCCACCCGTCTCCTGGCCACTGCTGTCACTGACCCTTCGTTTGCGTCTGCCCTAGTTGCTGAGCTTG